ATTACAAGTTCTAAGGAAATGAATCATGATGCATTTTAACCTTTAAAGAAATTAGAATGCGCTAACTTGATTACAGCAATCACCTATGTAATCACCTATGCACATCCAGCTCCAATTTTTACATTGCCTCCTGCATCGGAATTGAAGTCTTTGCCTGAGCTCTTGAAATATGAATATTACATCATTGTATATCCAAGAGAGCAGCCTAAGTACAGCAACATGACAAAATATTTTGCATATCAAGGAAATGAAAAGCGTGAAGAAAAGCTCATTGAGTTCATCAAGTAGTTGGATGTCCCTCCGCGGTTATTTCTTCCACATTCTCAATAAATGAAGTGCTGCAAATTTATGAGAAAAAAGAAAAATATCTAGGGATACAACTGAAACCGCTACCATCAAAAGTATCTCCTAGAATTAAAAATCATAAGGCGTCAAACTAATGACGTTAAAAGAGCGCTGTGTGAGAGACAACTCACAATTTTCTTAAGAGTTTTTAATTGTATTTTTTGCATTTAGCATTAATCCTTCATTTAAATTTTGGATCTCATGAATTCTGCTTCATAAACATTTTGGTCTACATTTACTTTGATGTTTGACATATATTTCTGCATAATTCTGAATTTCGCAGAGGGAGATTGAAAGTGTTGGATCCAATTTTTGCATAAGTCTTGGAAAAGATCAAGTGCAGTAGCAGAGTGACCACTTTCAAGACTTAAGACTTTGCCCTCGGTCCCATCAAAAGGAGCATCAATTTGATCCCTGAATTGTGAGTCATCATCCATGAAAGGGGAGTGATCTCTTTGCCTTTGTTTCATATGTTTTTAGTCTGATTTTTCTACATACTTAACAGATAAAATACAAAAATATATTCATTATTCTTCTCTTTTTAATTCAGTTCAGTTTTGTAATTCTGATTTTATATTCTGATTACACTTTCCATTCAACTCATGATCATTCTCTGTTTTGTACATATTTACCATTCCTACCATCTTGAAAGGTGAATTGTACTCACATGTTGCTAAGAAATTATCATGTTTACCTTGGTAGAGAATTAGGCCTTAAATTTCTTTTTTGTGTGCACTATTACATGTATATTTACATTCATCTTCTAGAACTTGCCTTGCTTCTTAATTGAATATGCATTGTGCAATTTTTCATCTAGATGATTGAGGTCTTCTTTGCACACACGCACCCACCCACCCTAGAACACCCTTGCACCTGATTTTCTTTGTTCCAAATTTACCCTTTTTGCCAAATTAGTCTGCAAAAAATAATTTCCTTATCTTAAGAAGAGGTATTTTATTTGAGTTACATCAAGAGTGAATGCAAGAAACTAAGTTTGGGGTGCTGATTATCACTATAGTTGCTTGAGCACAAGCAAAATCTTAAGTTTGGGGTGGTGAACATCATACATGTTAATAATACATGTCAGAAAAAGTTTGAATTTGAAGAAGAGAATGATTGTCAAAGTCCATAAAAAATTGATGATGAATGAATGAAAAAGAAAGAAAGAAAGAATACAGCAAGGGCCTTGAGTTGAAAAGAATCCCACATAAGGCAAAATAATGAAAAACATAGTGAAAGAATGTTTGAATCTCTTAAGCTGCATCATTTAATGCATTCCATTATAAGTTGTTGTACTCACCCACTCAAAAGAACTTCCTTCTCTTGAAAAACCCACTTGAGCTTTTGACCTTCCTTGATCAAAATTGAACCTAACCTAACCCTATTGGTAACCAACAAAGCCCTCATGTAGGTGGTTCATTGTATCTAGGCAAAGGAGATTGAGAATATGGGCAAGCATATGGTAGGGTGAGGCAAAATGCATGAATTGAGGGAAAACACTTAGCCTGAAACATTGATGAGTGAAGAGTGAAACACTTTGCATGAAAATAATTGATATGGGTATGATTTCTTTGTTGAATGAATCCATGATTTTGGAAATATTGGAAGTGTCAATTAGAGTCTAAGATTAGAATGAAAAATTTTGAAATTTTTTTTTTTAGATAAATCCAACCCTTTTACATGCAACTTTCTTGAGTTTTGATTTGCTTGAGGACAAACAAAAGTTTAAGTTTAGAGTTGTGATGAATCGATATTTTATTTGATTTTTACTTGTTTTTTTAGTGTTCCTTGATATAAAAAGTAGAGTTAGGAAGTGTAAATAACATAAAAACATCATTTTGGTCAAATATCATATTTCTTAATTTTTGGTTAATTTACATTGATTTACGTAGAAATAATTTATAATTTTGATCATTTGAATAATTGTGCAGGAATTTCTAGGCTTATTTCATGAATTTCTAGCCTTTGAGAAAGTTTGAGTTGAAAGTGACAACTTTTAATTCCATAGTGGACACTACAACAAGCTAGATCTAAAGGGTAGACCAAAGTGATCACTCTGATTCCATAGTAGACACTACAGAAACTCCAGTTTGAAGAAGTGTTGCGCGTAGCTACTTTGAGTCCATAGTAAATACTCTAGGGCAGACCAAAGTTATCACTTTGACTCAAAAGTGAACACTCCAGAGAAGGCCAAAGTCACCCAGTCTTGCGCGTAGCTACTATGAACCCAAAGTGAACACTTCAGAGAAGGTCAACAACATCAAGCACTGCACGTAGCTACTATGAAATCATAGTAGCTACTATGGGAGCATTGGGCGTAGCTACTATGGGCGATGACTACTGCACTATAAATAGAATTTTAGAAATTATGTCAGCAGCTTTTTACACTTTTAGATTTTTTCCATTTTGGGAGAGCCTAGGGTTGCCTTGGGTGACAGCCAAGGGTCCAACCTAGGGTTTGAATTCTATTTCTTCTTCACTTTTCTTTGATTTTCATCTTGATGTTATTGATTTCTCTTTACTTTCATTTTGTAATTGTGAAGCTCATCCTCATAGAGTGCTAAACTTTCTTATAATTCTTAGTGAGTTCATATGGATTCTTGAATTCTTTGGCTTTTGAATGTTAATATAATTTCTTTTCTTTCATGAATTTCTTCTTCCTAATCTCTTGAATTGAGTTAATAGTTGAATGAGGGAGACATTTCTTAATTAACCCTAATTCATTTTAATGAGATTCTAAACTTGAATTGCTTAATTTTAGGTTTATTTCTAAGGTTGCGTAATCTTGGGATGAGAGATTGGAGTCCATTGAATTGCTTAATTCACATGGAAACATAAGGTTGATTTTCGCTTGTTAAATTAACCTAATTTTAAGAGGAGAGGAAGAGTATTTAATCTTGAGAGGAATAAGGATAGAATCTATATGAATGAACTAGGGGTTACCACTTTTTATTGATTGAACTTTATAATTTTGTTTCTTGCTTTTTACATTGATCTTGAAATCACAAAACTCCCCTTGTTTACTTGCTTTCTGAATACACTGCACACCATATGTTTGATATTTGATTACTCGTCCAATGATTCATGGGAGACGACCTAGGTTAGCACCCTAATATTACATTAATTTCTCTTTATATTTTGATGAGGATTCGCGACAAATCTATCGTTCATCAGTGGGACGGGGTAAGCCTATGAATAAGGTAGAGACATAAGCTCTGGCCGGCCAGAGCTTATGTCGGAAGCTAAGCTATGGAGTAAAACTTGCTTGAGGGAGGGCCCTAAATAAGGGAGACAAGCTACAATGATATATTCCATCCTAGACCAAATTATTCATGGAACACATTCAATATCTGCTATATCTGTGGTTGAATCTCATGAGTAGTAGTCTATGAATTCTTATGATAATAAACTTAAGTATCGCTGAAGTGACTAAGAATCTAAAATGATTTCAAAGTACTCATTAACATTGTGAAAAACTTAAAGAAGAGGACACTAAAAGTACTTGTGATGCTGCGATGATTGATGCCCAACCAATATTTCAACCTATCTTCAACACAAAGGCTCGAATGAAGGCCAATACACAAATACCCAGGAGTAGGCTACAAAGAACAAGTGAGAGAGAGTCACGCAACAATGAATAGTCTCTAAGAGTGAGAAAGGAATTTATTTTTTTTGGTTAAAGAAAGACAACAATAACGTAGCTTCGTGAGTCAAATGTTTTTTTTTTTTTGGATTTATTCAAGAAGAAGAAGAAGAAGAAGCTGCAGAGAACAAGTGAGAGAGAGTCACGCAACAATGAATAGTCTTTGAGAGTGGGAAAGGATTTTTTCTTTTTGTTGAAGAAGGACAGCAACAACGTAACTTCGCGATTCAAATATTTTTTCTTTTTTGATTTGTTCAAGAAGAAGAAGAGAGGATGAACCAAAGGCGCAGGAGAGTTACATGACGTTTTTTTTTTGGGATTTGTTCAAGAAGAAGAAGAAGAAGAAGAGAGGAAGAACCAGAGACGTGGAAGAGTTACACGACGTCTTAGTTTCTTTTTTATGTTTAGTAAACTTTAAGTTCAGACAGTATGTTCACGTGTGTAGAATAACTAATATGCAACCTTGTATTTGAAAACTGTTGGTCTATGGTGTTGGGTATAGACACCAAATCCGAGTGTTTGAATAGCATTATTCTTTTTTTAATTTCTTTTTTCTGTCAATCTACTTGAGTGTTTTGGAATCAAAACTTGAGTTTTGACAATATTGTGAACCAAGCTTTGTTTTGAAATTGTTTAGATGAAAAGGTTCCTTTCATGGCTAAGTTTTTAAGATTTTGAACTGATTGTTGTTGTGATATGATAATAATTCTTGTTATAGTTTGGGTTAAATAGATCTCTTGGTTCGATGTATCTTCTTATGTGTCTCTTGCCTCTTTGTCGCATGTGCTGCCTTTCTTCCATCCCTTAAATAGAAGGTATTTTGACGTTTTCAACAATCTTGCTTGGCGACTAAGAGAGGTCAAACCAAAAAAAAAAGTGTATGACAGGAGATGGAAGAAAAAAAGAAAGAAGAAACAGTATCCAACTTCAAAAAAATTAGGTACAACGACAAGTTTAACGACAAATTTACCGAAACACACGGGGGAAAAACCAGATTAAAGCTAAGACAAATATGAACATAATACTGTTTTCAGGCATTTAGAGAATAAGAATTGATAGTCAGAAAAATGTAGATAAATAGCATTACAGCCTATACAAATCTTCCAAGAAATTCTGCTCATATTTTAATTTATTCCTTGTATCTGGTACAACACATAATGAAGAAAATCAACTACTCTTCTTTACCGTTCTTGTTTTCACCAGCTTTCAGAAACCGTGAAAACCAATACGCAGAAGACTTTGGGTGCCTAGTGAGCCCATTTTTATAATCCACATAGACCAATCCAAAGCGTTTGGTATAACCTTGAGCCCATTCAAAGTTGTCCAGTAATGACCATGCAAAGTATCCCCTCACATCTGCTCCATCCCTGTACATTCAAATAAAATACAAAATTTCAGGTATGTTTAACTCAATTCTGATTCTATCTTCAAACCCAACGGAATTTTCCGTTGTTATGCTGGTCAAAACTGTCTTTGGCAATAAAATGAAATTTGCATGTTCTTTTTGTCTACCTTATTCTTTTCATTATCTTCAAAATCCTGTGTGGGGAAAGACTTACGATTTTCTAGTGGTTTTAATCGATTAGCCTACTATGCAGAACTAGAGAGATACTGCATAAATGACATCCTGCTGACCCTCTTTCCGAACTTTTGGCTTTGTTCGACATAACTAGATAACTAGAAAACAAGTTGAAGCTAAAAACTAGGAGCTAAAACTTGAAAGCATTTAAGCTATCTCATTAAATTGAAAGGGTTTGATAACAATAACTGATCAACTAGTTGATACATATAAAATAACATAGAAAGAAACGTATACCTAAATTGATTTTGATTATTAGATAGAGTATATTTCATAAAAATTAAAAATGTGAAATAACTATGTGCATATAAATTACTGAAAATAATCTAACAGCTTATCAAATTAGAGTTTATAAGCTATAAGCATTTTCAAAAAAACTTCCTAGCCAAACACCTCTAATAGCGGTTTTTTGGTCAAATAAGCTTATAGTTGATACGCTACCGAATTTCTTGCCAAACACACAAATGTTTGAACACATAACACATAATACTACCTCCATTTCTTTGTATCTGTCATTTCTTGAAGAAAATTTTTGTTTCTATTCCTGTTATTTTAAATTCAAGATAACATTAATTACTATCTTATTAAAAAAGACAAAAACATGATGAAAACTAATTTAAAATTTTTAATATAAATGCAGAGATTAATTATTTTTCTTAATCTGTGTGCTTACCTCAAACAACAAATAAAAAAAATGAGTACCAAAGAGGAGGACCTTTTTGTCAATCATTAATGCTTTCAAAACTTAATCTGTTGACGAAAATTATTAATTCAAGTTTCCGAAGGTATACTGATACAGTGACAGACAAATGCATAACTGAGGTCAAACATTATCCATTTCATCATATTTTCCATAGCGACAACACAAGAATAAAAAAATGAAAGAAAAATGAAAACAGCACACCAATATTAAGTCAAAGAGAGATCATAAGACATAAATCATCATATATATAAAAAAGAAGAGATGCATCTAACCATCAGATTTACTCATTACTTGGTGTGTATGTAAAAGTGGCAAACTCACTTTATAGCCTGAGCAACTGATGCAACATATCCCTTAAAATAGCGAACTCTAAGTTTGTCATCTAGCATCTCATGTAGTGGTAAGTTATCATCTTCATCATCCATACCTGTCAAACGGAAATCCAGCCTCACATAGATGAGAAGCACTTCATAATGTTTTTGAGAACACATCCTGGATTGTGGGTTCTTTGTGAACTTCCACTGTTTTTCTGCGTAAGTTTGTTACTTAGTCTTAAATATTTGGAGAGATTATTTGAATTTCTATTTGCTGTGATTTACTAAACTCTTCTGCTTATTTACTTGAACTCAACTCTTTTTTAATGTATATTAACCATCTCGAGGAAAGATGTCACTCCAACAATGGGAGATCTTCCAGTTTCCAACTTTTAAGTTTAAAGCTTGATTGCATCAAAGTTTGATTATCCAAGAAAGAACACAAAATTAATGCATTACCAAGAAAACCAAAATACGCATCTTCGATCATTTCCCAATCATCTTAAACTTTCTACACACATACAGAGAAAGAGAGTTAGGAACCAATTGCAAGAGATGGAACATTAGTCCCATATCAAGTATGAGATTCTAATGAGGGTTCTATTTGAGATGGGCTGTATCATCACAGTCGATGGGCTTTGTGGTGAGATTCTCCCAAGGTTTCTAACAATTATCAGAGTTATCCTCAATGTCTAATGAGGTCACAAAACAAGCATTGTAGTGTTTGCCCAAGACTACATATAGGAGATCCACATGAGGGTTGAGCATGGTGGAATCATTGGATCCAATTGCAAGGCCCAACGTGAGCTCCAAATTGGAAGTATGGGATTTTGATCTGGGAATCTATGAAGCATCGACTCCGACATGAACACCGAGACACAGCTGATGTCTAAAATATAAGACACGGAGACACCGCTTATATATAAATATATAAAAAAATTGAATATAATTAACATAAAAAATTTATATTAAAAATTATGATTTGTTCATTCATCCTCTCTAAGATAAAGTTAGACTTTACAATTTTCATATGATACTCTAACAAAAAACACTAAGCGGCATCATTTCACAATGTAAAAACTTTATCTCTTTACAAAAAGAAATTCTCAAAATAAGATGAATCAAATCTCTTAGGGATTATAACCTCCTTGATCATCATCATTGAAAAACACAACCTCTAGTTTCGGTTAATCAAGTGACAAACTAGCAACTTCAAGCATTCCACTCTCATCTAGTGATCCAAATGCATCTCCCGCTATGTCCCACATTTTTGTTTCCTCTTGATCATATTGTGGAGAATTTCTTGGAAGAAGATGGAGGTTACCATGAACAAATACTAAATCTTCTGCTCTATGTGATGCCATCTTGTTTCTCTTCATAGAATGAATAAAAGAGTAAGTGCTCAAATTTCTTTCACAACATGAAGAAGAACATGGTTGTCCAAGTAGCTTAAGGGAAACCTTTTGAAGTATTGGAGCATGAGCACCATGAACAAGCCACCAAGATTTTGCATCCATCTTGCCCTATCACTTAAAGAATCAATGTCATCAAAACCTTCTCTTCCATCTGAAAAGTTTGCAAACTCTATATTCACTTGTCTCCTTACATCCATATCAACAAAGTATCTTTTGAAACATTTCATTCTTTCACTAGTAAGTTCCATATCTTGATGTGGAGGGACTCTATTAGAATCTTCACTTAGCCATTTGTGACTATAATATCTATAATATAAAAAATTGGTTATAATAACTTATAGAAATTTAACTAAAAATTTTAATCATTGAAAATATTATTTAGAAATATAATTTATTACCTTGAATTTAAAGAATGAGCTTAACAATGGAGAGGTGCGCTACTCTTTATCCAACATTCAATTAATATGGAGTGCACAACATTATAAAAGTTTGATTCTTCACTTTCCGCCTTTCTTTCATATCAATATATGACTTTCCTTACCTTTTCAATCATTGAGTCCCACATTTCATACACTAAATAGAGAGATGAAACTTCCGTATCCGTTTTTCTAAGAACATCATAGATGGGACTAGTGAAAGATAGTATATAATCAACCCCGGAATACAAACAGAAATAGAAAAAGAAACAAAATAAAAATCAGAAAAATGAAACAGCATAACATAAATATAAACCTTGGAACAGAAAAACAAAAACAAAAACAAAAAGCAAAAGAAACAAAAACGAAATGGAAACGGGAAATGGAAACACTGAATAGAAATAAGAAAATGAAATAAAAATAAATAGAAAAACAAAAAAATTACCAGTAAAAATGAGAAGGATTAATGTTGCCCGGAGAAAGAATGACGAGGTGATGAAAACACTTGAACGGCAACAGGATGAGAAGAATGTGCAGACTGCAGAGAAAGACCCAACATAGAATAGGAAGCAAACGTGTTGAAGAAGGAATAGGAAAAAAAAAGTGGGACGTGCTGGAGAAGGAATAGAAAAAAAAGTGGGAGTTTTAAAGATTTTTTTTAACTTTTTTAACTTTTAACTTTTTTTTATTTTGATTTTTTTTTTTGAATAAGCTGCGAGAGCCGTGTCTTCCATCCCAACCGTGTCTAAGCCGGGTCATAGCCGAAAAAAATATTTTAATTTTTGGACACTTTCAAAAAAGTGTTGGACATGTGTCACTACAGTGTCCATGGGTGTCAGTGTCATATTCGTGTCCGACACCCGGACTCTTCTACCGCTTGAAGTGTCGGTGCTTCATAGCTGGGAATCAAGGTTCATTTCTATTAGCTCTAGACCAACAATGGAGAAAGTATATGTTAGAAAAAATAAATATGGGTCTAAAAAAATAGATGATGCCTACCCAGGTCACTTAAAGTAATTACCATAAATGGTGGGGAGAAGGTTGTAAAAAGATTTTGGTGAGTGGTAATCTGTTTTTAGAGTTTCAGGCTCTCAATATATTGAAATGGCATTCTTAGCCTAACAGTTCTGGGTTTGTTCTTGAATCTGATACTGTGGAGGGTTTTCTTAAATAAAACAATTATTCTTACTCTCCTTCTATGAACCAGTTCTATTACCATCAAAATTGCTTTATAAAGGAATGTTAGTGACACACTCTTTTTTGAACATATTCTTTAATACACATCTTGTGATTGGTTAGTTTTTGAAGTCAAAATAATTTTTAAATCAATTTACTAGGCAAATGCATTTGACCTTTTAGAAAATGGACCAATCACATGAAATGTGTTGAATTGTTTATTCAAAAAGAGTGTGTTGCTAACATTTCTCTTGTATTCCATATTACCCAGAGGTTTGTCAAAATAACAGCAAACCATAAATTTGACTAGAAAACATTCCAACCCTTTTTTTTTCTTTGACTAACTACTTAGTTAACATCGTTTAGTGCATCAAACAATTCTTATATGCCACTATGCAGTGAAAGATTCTATACAGGGATTGGCAAATAAGAGTAATGATGTCTTTCACTTAATGGCTGATTTATTCTTCACTTTGCTCTTTGGTTCCTTATTCTCTACCTCCTGTTTTCTTGCCAAGTTTATAGAAAGGTGTTGAGAATAATTGTAAATAAATAGGGAATATTTATTTCTTACTTATATAGCATTATTTGTGGTAAATATAGAATATTTTGTAATTATTACCGAGTCATTATAAATAAATCCTCCCATTGTGTATAAAAAACACACGGATTTCACTCATTCTCTCTCAATTTCTTCTCTCTCAACATGGTATCCAAAGCCTAACGAGACACAAACCTTAGTCCATGTGTTAGGACATTGGGTGAAGATAGGGGCTCAAATGGGGGCCAAGCCCACACTATTGAGAGTTTACACTAGAAGAAAGAAGTGTATAGGCAAGGAGAGTGACATGGCAGAGAAAGAAGTAAGTGGTTAGCCAAAGTAAGAAGGGAGTCCGTTATAGTGGGACTAGTGGTGTGCGAGAGGAGTATGATAGGAACTGAGTACGTGTTTGGAATTAATCACAGAAACCTCAGGGAATACCCTGACAATACAACAGAAAAGGAAATAACAGAAGCAAATAATAATGACAAAATTAGATCCTATGGCAGCAGCCACACCACAAATGACCTCCCCAGATAAATCCTATCCTTGGCTGAGTGTTCAACCTCTATATAATCTCTCTCTCCCTGCCACTCTCCTTTCTCCCGCCCTCCTTGCCACGTATGCTAATTTGTTAATCTGTTGGAATCTAGCATAACGGCCTCTTGGCTCATTCTTCCCATTTTACCCCTTTTCCTTTGATATGTCTTTAATGGGAGTCCAATTGACTTAGACCCAACAATACCCCCTCCATTGAGAGGAACCTTGTCCTCAAGGTTGAAATGAGGGAATATGGCTTGAAGCATATCAAATTCCTCCCAAGTGCTGACTTCCTTAGGCAAATTCCTCCATTTAATCAGAACCTCCCAACGCCCATTTAGTAACCTCCGGGCATCCAGCACCTCCTCAGGCTCCACCAATAGCTCCTGCTCCTCGGTTAAGAATAATGGCAGCTCTTGACTTGCTTGACTGGCTGGAGGGGCTCTCTTAAGCTGAGATACATGAAAGATAAGGTGTAAGCGGGATGATTCTGGCAGCTGTAGTTTATAAGCAACAACTCCTATCCTTTCTTCCACGCGAAATGGGCCATAAAATCTTGGACTCAATTTTTCGTTGATCTTTTTGGCTAGTGTCTTCAGCTTGTAAGGCCGGGCCTTCAAATATACCATGTCCCCAATCTGAAACTCTACTTCTCGTCGTCCTTTATCAGCCTGCCCTTTCATTTTTAATTGTGCTCTAATTAAGTGTTGCTTGAGCTCCTCTATGATACTATCCCGAAGCTGTAACAGTTGGTCTACTTCAGCAACACTCGTGCTGTGCCGGCAGTAAGGAATAACAATGGAAGGGTCACGGCCATATAGCGGCTTAAAGGGGGTCATTTTGATGGAGGCATTGAACGAGGAATTAAACAAAAATTCCCCCCAAGGAAGCCACTTTACCCATTGTCGAGGGTGATCATTAATAAAGCTATCTCAAATATGCTTCAATGGTACAGTTAGTCACTTCGGTCTGGCCATCCGTTTGAGGATGGTATGCAGAGCTAAATTTCAACCTTGTACCCGAGA